CTAGGCCATCAGAGATGATCAATGCTCCGGAAAATGTGCCATAGTCAATATTCAGCACTGTTTTAAATTTCCTTTATTTCTCAATCTCTAGCCTCTATAGATTGTCTTATTTCATACTACATCTTGTATTTTATCCAGGACTTTTTATGTACTGTATTTCACAAGGATTGCTCTGGTCACCAAGACCACCATATTGCTAGAACTGAAAATCCAGCTTTGTTACTTTAAAAGTCATAGTTGTCAAAAACAGAATCTAACATATAATTTAAAAATACAGAAAAAACCCCACCCCACAACAACTTCTATTTCTGAGTTCCACACTTTCCCTTCACACAAACATAAACTATAGTTTAAATGAGTACTTAATTATACACTGGTAACGTTGCTAGTGAACTTGGCAGACATTCTACTTTTAGAAGCACTCCACACAGATTTATATATCACATTTTACATAATGAAGACTTCTTTCCCACCTCTTACTAAAGCAAAGTAATAATAATGATAATAATAAGCTTCTTAAAAGAAGGATGGGGATATATCAGGAAGGCTTAGTGAGCTGAGACAAGAAACAAGTTAAGGGTGTTGCAAGTTAAAGGGTGGGTGGTAGATACACTTCAGATACAAGGTAAACGGCTTAAGATTTTATAGCCCCAATTAGATCATATTAGTGTTTAAAGCTTCCCAGATTCTCTGCATTGTTGAAGGAAAGGCACAAAAGCTAAACATATGCCTGAACTGAACAGCATTTCCCCTGGATTACACCCATGTGGGGTTTCATATATGGCTGTGCTCCATTTCTCAATTTCCAAAATAAGGTATAATTTAGAGTGCTGTTTGAGTAATTGTCTGAATACATTTCTTATATTTTCTATTGTTTGAAATTAAATGATCAGAAAAACAGAATTTCACGCTTTCAAGCCTGGTTGCTATTTGGTTTCTGTTTCTGAGAATGCTGACTTGCTAAAGAAAGCATTGAGCCCTTTCATGAGCATATGCTAAACTGATTAATTCTGCCTGCAAGCTTGGACATGTGGCAAGATGTCCCCTTTACAAAACTATCTCCTATGCAAAATATAGGCAACAAGAATATTTCCTTTGCATTGATTATGGCAGAAGTGATTCTATGCCAGTCTAGCCTTTAAGAAGACTGATAGTTTCTGTCTTTTTCTCTTGGAGACCTGAGCCACCTGGAAAATGTTCCATTATTCTGATAGAGAGATAATACAAAGGAACCCTATGATTCCATTGATAGGGAGAGGTTCTAGTTAAGATCAGCCTTGCAGACAACAGCCATATAAGTGAAGCCATCTTGGATGCTCCAGACAAACCCACCTGCCAGTTAAACAGCACTGAAGGACTCTGTTAAAACCACATGGAGCAGGAAAATTGCTCATCTGAGCCCTTCCCACATTCCTAAGCCATAGAATTATGTAACTAAATGAAATTGTTATTTGCAAATAATTTAATAGCAACAGATAAATGAAGTGCTTGTTAAGTAGAACTTATCTCCTTTGTCAATAGTTAGAAAATATAATTATTTCGGATATGGAACTTCCCTCCACAATTACATTGTTCAGGAGTGAACTAGAAATTGAACATTTAGAAGCTGTTTTTTTTTGTTGTTGTTTTTTGTTGTTGTTTTGTTTTGACAAAGACATTATGAGAATTTTTACTTCAATAAAGTGATCAGATTTGAGGTGTGCTGTATTCAGGCCTCATCTCCTCAGGTAGCTGCTATTAAGTTGAGCTGTATAAGGAAACTGGAAAGCAAGTAAATGAAGACCATCTGAGATCTCTTTCAAAAATAAATTTTGGTGTGGTTACTCATACATAAAACTGACTAGAAGTAAAAAATAAGAAAATTAATAAGGTTTTGAAGAAATTAAGTTGCCAAAGAACATTAACCTCATCTGAAAATCCTGTTATTATTTTGGCAAGTCTTAAAACAGCTCTCAGTAAGAAGTGGGCTACAGAAGGTGCACAGGTCCCAAAGAAGATATATAACCCTACAGCCATGTCTGATATGCCTGGAAAATAAAAAATGTGGAGAGCCACTCAGGGATTTGTTGCTTTTCCTGCAAAAGTTTATAGCTTTTGATCTTTCAGAAGATTCTTTAAATGTCAATTAATTCAAGCTGATTATGTTGAGTCCACTATATATGTACTGAATTGTTTTTTGAGTTGTCCTACCAATGACTGAAGGAGAGGAATGAAAATTAATAAGTTTAATTGTAGATTTTTCTATTTCTCCCTTTGATTCTGATAGTTTTTGCTGTTTGCATACTGAGGCTTTAGCATCAGTATATCTTCCTGATAAACTTCCCTTTTTATCATGATAGAATGTTCCACCTTATTTTGGTAATAAAACTTGTCTTAAAGTATACTTTGCTTAGTATTTTTTCTTTTTGTTATAGTGTGTATGCCATATTTTTTTCTATTCGCTTGTTTTCAAGTTATCATGTAGACAGCATATAGTTCAGTCTTGACTTTTTTTAACTTTTAATTTTAGTTTTTTTTTTAAGCCAGTCTGAAGCTCTCTTCCTTTAATTGGAAAGTTTGGTCCATTTATACTTAATAAGATCACATAAACACTTAAATTTGTGTATCTCATCTTAGTATTGATATCTTTCAGCTCCATCTGTTCTTTGTTTCTCTCTTCCTTCTAGGAAAAGAGCTAGATTTGTTTATTTAAAAATATCCTGATCAGATGAGATTTAACTTTTTACTCCATCATGTCACCAGCATTCTCTCATTTAACACATTTCCTCTAGTTTTATGTCAAAAACATCAATTTATCCATCCTGACATATCTGTCAATGGGATGTAGCTGGGGGAAGACACTGCCACCATTAGTCATCCTCCATCACATTGTTCTGCCCTTGTGTCAATATCCTTTGCCTACATTCATAAAACCAGGTATTAATGCCATATATTGTCAAAGTGAGTGGCTCAATTCATCCAATATAATATCAGGAAATATATCATCAAATGTCATGCTTAATCAAATGCAGCTATATGACTAGAGTCTAGTATTTCAGTTAAAGAAGAAAATGTAGTTAGCCTGACAGTTTATTTCTGAGGCTTTATGCTCTTCTTGTTCAATACATCCCCCAAGGGCCATTTAATCTTTTTCCCATAAATTCAGCTTTTCCATAAGTTAACTCCTGTGTATGCTACTCTCCTGGATAATTCCCTCTCATTTGTGCCCTGCATATCATTTCCACAGCCTCTACCATCATACAGACCATTGCTCACCTGTATTACCTCACTCACATCTTCACATGCATCTCCTCTCCGCTTTCCGACCTCTACCCCACCAGCATCAGCATCACCTGGAACTAGATAGAAACACAAATTCTCAGGCACCACCCCAGAGTTACTGGTCACTCTGTGGTGTAGTCGGGCAATCACTGATGATTTGGAAGCACACTCAAATATGAGAACCACTGCTATACACTAAAGGATTTCAAATATTCCCTCCTACCAACACGTTATCTTTAACATCAATTGCCCTTTCCCACTGAAGCTGCTGATTGAACAAGAATCATACTATTCCACAGAAAATCGGGAATATTCTCTTAATCTTTATTTAATTATTACCTATAGTTTTGAAGTAAATCCAGTTTTATCTTTGTTTTTTATTATTATTAACATTTTTTCAAACAGTAGCCAAAATTAGCGAAAATGAATTAATTAACATCCAAGTGTGCCCTGACACCAAAATTGACAAGAGGTGATCTAGTTTAGCAGTCTGTACACTATGATCCATAGGCCAAATCTAGCCCATGCCTTGTTTCTGTGAATAAAATTTTACTGCAACACAGTCAAGCTTATTCTTTTTTTTTTGTATTATTTAATGGCTGCTTTTGATTTATAGTAGCAGATTTGAGCAGTTGTAACAGAGACCATACGCCCTACAATGCCTAAAATATCTGGCCTTTTACATAAAAAGTTTATGACCCCTAATTGACATTGTAACCAGGTATTCATTCAACACATATTTATTAAACATATGCTATTAATCAGGCACTGTGTCAGGCCCTGAGGATCTAGAAGTGAACCAAGGACACAGACCTCTGCAATTATAGAACATATATCATAATGAGGGAGGGTGGCTGAAAATAAACAGCACACCAATAAATAATTAATAAGATAATTCCAGAAAATCATTTGTGCTGTGAATAAAAAGTGGAGGCAACAATAGAAAGTGACTGTCCAGGAAGCAGCACCATTGGGTTAGGTGTCAGGAGGCCTCTCCAAGGAGATGGCATTAAGCTAAAACCTCAATGAAATGATGAAATGAAAAAAAGAAACAAGATGTGCATAGTTCATGGGAAGGAAATGACCTCGATTTGTCTTAAAAACATAAAGAAGGCCAGCATGGCTAGAGCAAAGTAAGTACTGGGAAGATATGGGGCCCTGGCTAAATGTTTGCAAGACTCCTGATCAATGACAAATTGTATTCTTTCATTTCCACTGTGTCTCATAGAAGGAAATGATATTGATTAAAGATTGCTTACTATTCTTTTTTGTGTTAGTGATTTATGTTGGTTGTGCTGCAAGCATAAATGATCTTTACATCAATGGTGAGAAAATTAGGAACTTCTGATTAAAAATTTTAAAAAAGAGCAAGATTAATATCCCCTTTAGATGCAAGGTTGAAATATTACTCCTTTTCATCTCTACCTTGATCAGGCTGTTTAACGTGGCATCATTAAGTCAGACCTTTAAATTTTCTACTTCCCTAAACCTAGGGACATGAAAAAGTACAAAACAAAGCAAAACAAAACTCAAAGACTATCAGTAATCAATCAACGGAAAGAGGTAATAACTTGCACATAAAAAGAAATAAGTTTAAGAATATATGCAAATCTTCTTTTATATTTTTTTATGGAAAAAATTGTTGAGTGTAGGTGCGTAGAGAGGGATGGTGGTTTGTTGGGAAGAGGAAAATGTGTTAATGAAACACTGAAATTTCAAATTAAGAATCAACAACTTAGGTGCTTGCTTTGGCAGCACATATACTAAAATTAGAAAGATACAGAGATTAACATGCTCTGGTGCAAAGACAACATGCAAACACATGAAATGTTCCATATTTTTAAAAATGGGCAAAGGAAATGTATAGAGATTTCTCCAAAAATGATATACAAATGGCCAACAAGCCTGTGAAGATACTTGACATTAGTAATTATTAGGTAATTGCAAATCAAAACTATAATGAGCAGGCACCTCATGCCTCCTGTGTACTGTCAGTAGGAATGAAAAAAGGTGCAACCTCTTTTCTGGAAAATAGCATGGAGTTTTCTCAAAAAATTAAAATAGATCTACTAAATGATCCAGCAATTCTACTTCTATATCCAAAAACCTGAAAGGAGGATCTAGAAGAGATATTTATACAACCAAGTTCAGAGCAGTGACAATAGCCATGAGGTTGAAGCAATCCAAGGATCATCAATGGATAAATGGATACACAAAATGTGGTTTATACATACAGTAGAATATTATTTAGCTCTAAAAGAAAGGGAGGAAACTTTGATACATGCTTCAATGTGGGATGAACCTAGAGGACATAATGCTAAGTGAAATAAGTCAGTCACAAAAAGATAAATACTGCATGATTTCACTTATATGAGGTATTTGGAGTAGTCAAATTCAGAGACAGAAAGTAGAATGGTGCTTGTCAGGGACTGATGAGAGGGAAGAAGAAGAGCTATTGTCTAATAGGTATAAAGTATTGATTTTGCCAAATGAAAGGGTTTATGGGGATGGACTGTGGTGATGGTTACACAATAATGTGAATGTATTTAACTGCACTGAACTATAAATTTATAAATAGTTGAGATGACAATATTATGTTTTGTGTATTTTACCTAAATAAATGTTTTAAAAGGTATCAATAACTTGTAGAAAAAAAAAAAGAAGACAGATTAGAACAGAACTTGGGGTATTATAGATCAGAGTAGGTATTGTTGGCTTGTTAATATCACATGAAAATGTCATGCAGATATAAAAGACTGAAAAAAACTAATTTAAAAATGATTTCACTGACTTTTAAGAAAGGACCAATGTGAAGTAATCATACACAGATTCTTGTTTTCTCCTTTTCATGTATGTTGAGAACCAGAAGCTAGAAATTAGCAAAAGGTGACCACAGCCATTTATGATTTGACTCTGTTTTATGGTTTCAAGTTAAGTTCATATTTATACTTATTTGAAACAACATTATCAGTATCACTTTAAAGATTAACAAACTGAGGGTGAGGCGAGACTAAAGAACTACAAGGGGTAGGCATTTCCAGTCGAGTTGAATAATTGCCTATTCCTGTCAGGGTCTAAAACGTGAGTACTTGGTAATGCAACAACTATGTTTCTTTTCTGTAACTTCTATTAGAACCCAATTTCTTCATGCATCTACATGGACTTTGGAAATGCAGAGAATAAAAGACTCCAATTCATAGGAAGTAGCTATTTATAAACTCACTTAAACCATCTCCTTTCCATATGGCCCACCCAGAGAGTTTATTCCTTACTGTTTTCCTCAGCATTGGCCATAATCAAAGTCTTCAGGATCAATGCTAATAGGAGACATAATAATCAATGCTACAGGAGACAAAGCCCTGCCTTGGGTTATAAGAAGATGTGGATTCATTACCTGGTTCTGCTATATGCCAAGTACATTAGTGTGGGCAAGATTCAATCACTGCCATTAAGTTTCCTCATCTGTAAAATGATTTCATGTACCTCATAATGTTGTTGTAACAGTGAAGGGAAATAACATGTGTGCAAGCACTTTAAACAATGAAATTGCATATAAGTGCAGGCTATAATTGTCATCTAAGTCCCTGTAAATCCAGGAGGAAGGATCTTAACCAAGAGTTGGAGATTGCAAGAAAACCTTTTACAAATCCTAAAATCAGGGTCTTTCAATGCATTATCTATTGCAGTAAAACATTCAGATTAATATGAGAATATTCCTTTGATAACTTATTTTGAGAAGAGTAGGGAAATAAGAGCTTTTCTGTCCCAGAATATTTAGTGTTCTAGGTCTTAATTTCTTATCAAGGAAATATATTTTCCTTTTTTTATGCATAAGAAATAATAATTTGGAATCATAGAATCTCACAGTGGGGTCTATAAATATTTTATTTGTCTGTAAAAATTAAATCATGAGACCCTTGATTCTGAGAGATTTAGTAATGTTTAATGCTGGAAGATTAGGGGCCAATCTGGATTCTAATAATTTCTGTAGATGATTTTGATCAAGTTCTTAAATGTTTATAAGCTCCTTTTTATATCTGTTAAAGTGCAGAACAATTTGTTTGGGTTAGTCTGGGTTCTCCACAAACAGTGCCTGAGACATGGATTTGGATACAGTTAATTTGGAAGGTAATCACAGAAAGCAGTGAGCAATGAAATAGTAAGAGAAGAAAAGGTAATGAAAGATGCATCTCTAAGCTAGTTTCCCTGGAGGACAACGAAAACTCAATTGTTCTGGGAATTGTGCAGAGGACTCCATAGAATGCATCTCAAAATGATCCCTCCAAAGGGAGGAAAGCTGAGGTATTTATCCACTGACCCCTGTCCCCCATTGGTTGAGGACGGCTCTGTGTCTGCATGCGGGCTGAGTGGCTCTAAGGCTTCAGAGGAAACCTGGGAGGCAGGAAAGCAGAGAGCCACCAAAGCCGGCATTTGTGGGAGGTGGGTGCTGGCCAAGTGCACTGAATACAAGTGGGCCAATTGCATATGGTAGAGGCACAAAAGAATGTCTTATTGATTGTTGTGAGTACTAAGTACTAAGTAAATTGATATGGATGTACTTAGAATGGTGCTCCAAACATTGTAAAAACCATAAATAGCAGCTGATGTTTTTATTAGACTAAGAGATTTGTTTATAGACACTACTAATTGGTAAGGATTTTGCTCTGGCCACCCAGTGCTTATTTTTTTTTTTTTTTTTACTATGCCTTCTCTTCTGTACTCTATTACTAAGCATATCTTTCCACGATTTGCATAGATATGTCTCTGTATGAATATGATCACTCTTCTCATTAGCAATTTATACAATTTATTATCTTATCTATGAAGTCTTATTTAAATGGCAACTCATTAAAAAACATGATCAAGTGCTTCCTTCAATTTTGTGTAATTGTGAGGACCTAGAACAACTTTATGAATAGGAAGATGTTTAATAAATATTATGCTTTTCAACATAGTTATAAGGTGAATGTCTTTCAATTGCCCTTACCACTGAGTTTTACCACTGTTTAAAACCCATGGCCTTATTACTTCAATGAACATTCAAATTCATAGCTCCCATTAGCATTGCAGACAATTTCTGGCCTACTTTCCCTGGATATTAATGGAAGTTCAGATCTTTTAATGAGCTTGGTACAGGAAGAATTTTGGTAGTCACATAAACTCCTGCCCCTCTCTCAGCCTAGGGCTAGAGAGAAAACAGTCACTATGTTGGTCAGGTAACTTCAAAGATACTTAGCTGTCAGAAAAGCTACTATGTACTGCATAAACAACACATGCCCAGTCACCTTTGGTGTATTTCAATGCCAAAGTTAACTTCCTGAACACAACTTTTAGGCGGTCTCCTCTTACCTTACTGATAGATCCTTCTGGTTCACTTTAATGTTTCCTCTTTATTTCATTGTTTTTTAAATTTTCAGACATCAGGGATCAGCATTTGGAAAGAATCTCTTCATCAATCTCCATTCACTTGTCAGCCCAGTCTTCCCTCCTGAACTTCAGGAACTTGTGACTGATTATGTTTTCAATATCTCAACTTTGACGGTCTGATAGATTAGACTATTTTTAAAAAGCCACTGATTCTACCCTTGCTTTATATACATCTTTGCAATGTGATGCTGATGGTCCCATCAAGAGGTTGACTCTTCTCTGCCCCACTGAATCTTGGTTGAACCTGTGACTTCATTGACCAGTCGCATGCAGTAAAGTGACATTATATACGATGTGAGCCAAGAACTCAAAGGAACTTGCAGTTTCCATTCTCTCTTTTCTTGCCCTGAAATTTCCACATAAAAATCCCTGGGATCAGAGCGCCTGGGTGGCTCAGTCTGTTAAGCGTCTGCCTTCGGCTCAGGTCATGATCCCAGGGTCCTGGGATCCAGCCCCACATCGGGCTTCCTGCTCTGCGGGGAGCCTGCTTTACCCTTTCCCTCTGCCCCTCCCCCCTGCTTGTGCTCTCACTAACTCTTTCTGTCTCTCCCAAAGTAAATAAATAAAATCTTAAAAAAAAAAAAGCCTGGGATAGTCTGTTGGAGGACAAGACCATGTGGAGGAGAATGATCCATCCCATCTGAGGTACCCTAGGTCAACCAGCCCCAATTAATCCACTAGCCTATTGCAGCTACAAGTGACTCCAAATGAGGCCTGTGAACCACTTAACTGAACTCAGACCCAGTTGCTAACACAAAGATTCATAACTAAATAAACCACAAAGTTTTGTGGTTAGCAGTTTGTTACATATTTATAGGTATCTGATACAGATGTTGAGGAGATATTGCTAATTTAAGATATACAACGATGAGCCTTTGTTTATATCCCCTAAACCTAGTACTTCACAAGCTCCCTTTTATAAAATATTGGTCAATTCTATCTTCTAATTCCTTAAGCCAGATATTTTACAATCATCCTTGCAACCTTTCTTTCCCTCATGTCTAAACCATCAACAAATCTTGATGGCTCTTCCTTAATACCCTAAGTTGGAACACTTCTCTCTATTCTCCATTGCTTATATGCTGCTTCAAGGAAGATGACTGAAGTTAAATTCTGAATTGTTTCACTGCTTCTGCCTAGATCCTCTGAAAACTATTCTCCTCATAGCACTAAAAATAATCTTTTAAATCATAAATTATATCAGGTGCTTTCTCTGACCAAAAACCCTTCACTGAAAACAAGTTTTGGTTCCTTACAAAGTTAAATGCACAATTACATGTAACTAGGCAATTCTGCTCCTAGGTATATAACCACAATAATTGAAAACAGGTGTTCAAACAAAAATTGTAAATGAATGTTCATGGAAACAACCCAAATGTCCATCAACACATGAATGGATAAACTAATCGTTGTAT